AGAGAGAGAGAGAGAGAGAGAGAGAGAGAGAGAGAGAGAGAGAGAGAGAGAGAGAGAGAGATTGGCGACTTAGGGAATTGACGACATTTGGATCCAGACTCGACATTGGGATTCAGACATTTGACGAGGGATTATTTGGGACCTGTACCGAAGACTTGGTGACAACATTCCCATATTCCCCTCCTCTTCGTGTAACCCCCCTCTTCTTCGTCTGTGTATGGTTGGGGACTGGCTTATTCTTCCTGTGTGAGCGCCAGGCCCCGTCACACCATGGAATGATGATGATGTATGTTTGGTCTGCATTGCAACACTGATTGTTCGGATCATTGGTATATTAGCCTTCCGCTGCGCTATCTTGTACTATGTGAGAGAGGACGGTTCTTGTTCTGGTCTGCACCTTTACGGTATGCAACAGTATGGCTCCAATTTTAACAGATGTCCCGAAGGACGCCTCTCCCCCATCCTCCCCATTTCCTTTTCTTCTTTTATTGGGGCAGGGCGGAGTACTGCCTCCCACCCCACCCCCGTTCAATGTTCTTTCTTTTCCTTTCTCTGTCCACAAAAGCACGGAGGGCAGGGAGCAAAGGAGGGGAGGGGGCGGGGCAAGTCCACCCCCCGTCACCCCCAGCCCTGTCCTCTCTTTGTTGAATTCAATTTTATGATGTTTAACAAATGGACATTTTCAGAGGATTTGGTTGGGTAAGGGCAGATCATACGGGCAGCCCTTCTTTCTCTAGCTCTGTAAACACTTTTGCAGAAGGGATGGGGGAATTTATCTTGTTGCTTCTTTCCTTTCACAAAAAGGTCGCAGTAAGCAGTCATCCTCCTCCCCCCCCATCTTCAACTGCATACTTTCAAAGAAAACACCCCCCACGCCACCTCCCCTCCCTCCCCCCCAAAGCTCTACCTCCCCTCGAAAAGGGGTTAAGATTCACCCCACATCCCTACCCTGCCCAGACCCCCCCACCATGTCGATATGAGACAATTGCTTATTCGACAATCCTAAACTCTCAAAGGGGTCCATTTGGATCTGATCTAACAGCAAAAGAACATGTCACATATGACTGCATTTCCCTTGCCTTAGCGTGCCCCCAGACACCTGCAAACTGCCCAACTATAGTGGAGGGTTAAATCTGCTTAGGGTTGAGTGCAGTCCCCATCAACCCTGAAGGTAAGCAATATCTGCCCCTATGGTGTGAAGACAAACATTGACAATTGCTGTACAGTTTACTTCATAACCCTAATGCCATCACAGGTGATCCAGTGGGGGAAATGGGGTGTTTATGAGGGCAGGGACTCTTGAGGTCAGGTGACTTGGCATCCGGTCTGATAACTTACCTTCTCTCGGTGATTTGGCAACAAGGCTCTTGAACTTATGCACGACCACAAACTGAATGGCGGTGTACGGAACGACGAGGAGCTGAGCGGGGACAATCCCTTTCCATAGGCCCTGAGAAATGGCAACAGAACGTTTGCCTCACCTGACATGGTACCCAGATAACCGCACAGAAACCGTGCACACACCATCCTTATTGTCCCATCAGGTTCCCCACACGAAAACTCACCCCCAAACAAAGATTATCATATCGGGCCATAGACAGTCCCATACACTGCCATCAATAGGACCGTCCCAGCACGAAAACTCACCCCCACACAAGTATTATCATATCAGGTCATAGACAGCCCATACACAGACACCAGTCGGACCTTCCCGTCACGAGAACTCGCCCCCACAGAAATATTATCATATCAGGCCATAGACAGTCCCATACACTGTCATCAATAGCCAGATGAACCAAGCACCTTCTCTTGCTCCCAATTCACTCTCAAAGCATCACCAGTGCCCCTTACAATCCGCCAAAAGGACTGTACCAATC